AGTGCAGTATTAGCCATTAGTTTAGCAATTTTTCTGTCTTTTCAGTTGAGCAGTTTGATAGATTATTGCAAGGGATTATAGCTGCCCGGTGGCCTTGGTGTGGGAGCATGAGGAGCACGCGGGTAGTGGGCGAGAAGGGGTTGCAGTGAGTGTCCTCTGCCTTGAGATCAGGCTCCGCGGTGACGCTCTTGATGTTATTAATGCTGGGTAGGGAACAGTAGGATGATGTTGTGTAGGGATCGTGCTGGATGATGTGTAGGGAGGTTGGACTAGATGACCTCTGCAGGTCCCTTCCAACCTTAAGCATTCTATGATTCTATGTTTGGGGCCCTCCAAACTAGTGCAAGCGGTTGATTGTCGCTCCCAGCTTCTTAGTAGCTCTTCTGACAGCAAAACACTGCCCTTGATTGCCTGTGGGCTGCAGTTCTGGTGCCTTTGGGGCTGTTTATTGCTGTAAATACTTTAGTCTCCCCTTCACAGTGTTTGCCTTGTGTTTAGTTCTATGACTGAGGTGGCTCCGTGTCCGTAGCGGCTCCCAGGGCCTTTCCTGGCTAACTCGGAGCAGAGCAGCCCTGGATGCAGACACCGCTTTGGCTCTAGAGAAGGTTCCATCCAAGCTCTGCGCCCTAAACCTGGTGGTTTAAATAGCAGCGGGTGGCTCCTGCTGCCGCGAGTGTCACTGCCTGTGTCCCGTGGTCGCAGAGCGCTCGGAGAGCCTCGAGGGGCGAGGAAGATGCTCCTGCTCCTCCTCGGCATTCGTACGGAAGGTGCCTTGCGCTGGCCCTTGCTCTTGGGAGGGATGTGCAGGGATTTAATCTGAGAGGCTGGGAGCTGAGCTCAATATTCAGCGAGTGGCAGGGTCCTGTCAAATGGGGTAGCAAATAAGCTCTGGCGTCCGCAGAGGAAAAAGCAAATATTGAGAGTCCCTTAGAGGGGTCTGTGCCTCCACTCATGGTTTAGAGGACTTCTTCCACTGTTATCATCGGAGAAGTAGTGTAATATTAAAATGTTAATCTATATTAAAATGTTAATCTAAGAGCTGATGGAAGTTGCTGGCCCCTAAACGGTATTTGATGGCCTGCCTGTGACTAAGGGGCAGTGGCAGCGTCGCTGTCGCGGGCCCGGGCGCTGTGGATGCAGGCCTTGCATGGCTGCAAAGCCGCTGCGCCCAGCTCTCCTGCTTCTTTCCCAAACTGGCATCACTTAATTTGGATTGAGCAGCTGCAGATCTGTCTTGAGGAAGTCATGGATTCCAGAGCATATGTGAAGGAGGATGATAGCTGGGTCTGGCCTCTCCCTCTCCCTTTCTTCTCATTCTAGTTCCCACAGTTTTCTGTTTTCCTGCTCTATTTCCTTGGAGGTTTTCTCGGTTTCCCCCGTGTGTTAAGTGCCTCGGAAGGCCCACGGGCAGGTTCCCACACGGAAACAGCATGAGATGCTGGTGGGAGCTGGAGGAGGGGACACTGTTGATGTTTACAGTCCATCTCCTGACAAGATAGCACCAGGCCTGATGTTTAAGGCACAGGGTTCCCCATTAACTTATCCGATTGTCCGGGCTGCTTTGTGAGAGCTCTGCTGTTTATTCACTCTTGCAGCTGGGGTCTCTGGGAATGTTGAACCCCGCACCTTGCGACTGATCCCGGAAAACTTGCTGGCTGTGTTGGCAAAGGAGGGAGCGACAAAGCCGGGCGCTGTGCCATGATCCGGGCTTTGGCACATGGCAGTTAGTGAAACATCTGGGGGAGAAACTTGGTCGTTTGGAGCTTGTCTTGCCTGCTCGGTCCTAGCAGGGGTCAGAGAGGTGCCGGGCTATGGACAGTGACATCCCGCTTGGGAGGACAGTGTCTGCCCCCAGACACTTGGGAATGCTCGAGCGGATGGTTCTTTGCTTTTTGTACCATAGAGGTAAAACTGCTAGTGGGACTCTTATCCCCAGGTGCCCATCATCATCTTTGTCTGGAGAGATCTACGGTCAGGATGTAGATGATGCTCTTGGAGTGATTGATTCCTTTTATTTAGTTTTATGTGAAGCATTCAACTTTCGATACAGCAGCTTCCGAGCTGCCGGCAATCCCATGGCACAGACACGCGGTTCCAGCCCCACTGTACGGCAGCCACAGCCTCGTTGCACTAATTCTCTTGACACAGGCTCCTCGGGGCAGCGTAGTGACAGTGACGGTGTCCGAGCCCTGGAACGGGCTGCCCAGGGAGGCTGCGGAGGCTCCTGCTCTGCAGATCTGCCACCGCGCTGGGATGCGCCCGGGTGCTCCAGGTGTCCCTGCTGGAGCAGGGAAGGGATCCCTGGAGGTCCCCTCCACCCTTAAGGGTTCTGTGATGAGGGTGGCTGTGATGCACTGGGCAGCGCTTTGGGGTGTCAGCTGAGGTGGAGGCTCTGGAAAAGGCAGAGGTAGCCAAGGAGCGAGGATTGCTTTGGACGCTGGTTGTGACCTGCTAAAGCACCAGCTGTCCTTCAAGGGTCCCACGGGGCTTTTTGTGGCCTCTGGCCTCCCCTCTATCTGAGGGGGTTCCTCCAGAGCCTCTGCGACTTCTGTTAGCCCTGCTGTCCCTAAGGGACAGAAATCTTGAGGAGAAACCTCCAGAAAGCTGCAACACCCCTCACTGGTGCAGTGGTTTAAAGCTAAACTCCAGACGAGCTGGACCTTCGTTCTTGACTGCCGTTTTGATGTGCGTGTTGGAGCTAATAGGTTTGGAAGCGTGTCATTCCACATGAAAGGCATGCAGCTATTATTAGCTATTTGGGCTATTTGGAAACAAATCCCGTCTTGTCAAGGGAAGTGTTATAATGGATGGGGTATGTGGCAGTGAATCAGCAGCAGTCCTGTGGCTTTGGCTGCGCCGAGGGCTCCGAGCGAGGTCCTGGCGCGTCCCGCCCCCGCGGGGACTGCAGGGCCCTGGTTTCTGGCGCTCGGCTCCTGTGTCGCTGCTTGGGGGCTGCGGACCATTAAGTGCAGATAAATACGAGACTTCTCGGGCCCTGGTTCTCTGTATGACGGTTGCATTCGTGGTTCTCGTGAGCAGTGCCGTGTTCCGCGGTTCGCTTGCTCGCCCAAGGTCGAGTAGTAACGGCACGTGGCGGTGAAGACCCTTGGTTTCCCGGGAAGGCAGCCTGCAGGGTGGGTGTCGCCTTGATCGTGGTGGTCCCTGGGGGGCTTCTCTGGTGATCCCCAAACGAGGAAGCAGCTTCTGCATCTTGTTTGTGAATTAGGGTGCAGGGGAGCATGGGTGTCACTGGCTTCATCACCTTGGAGCTTGTCCTCGGGAGCGCACAAGCGGGTGGCTTTGCCGGCCATCGTGGGGACTCCTGCTTGTTCCTTCAAGGGGTTGGTGTAACCTGTCCAGAGCTTCATTGCGCAGGGCCCTGTGGTGGCCGTGGCTCTGTTGGTTGGATCCAAGATCCCTGTTCCCACGTGCTGCTTGTGGCCATGGCGCTGTGTGCCCACTGTGTGCCCACTGGGCGCTGCCTCGGCCAGCGTTGCAGTGCCCGTGGAGCGCAGCACGCGGCTCCAGCTGCACCCCCTTCAGCACTGCTTTGCTTTGGTTTTCCTGGGAATTGGAGGCTGTATCTTGCTGCTGGATTGCGGGGTGCTCCGAAGCCCTATCGAGGCGTTTGCGGGAGTGAGGTGGTTTGCGCGGGTGAAGCTCCTGCTGCGCCGAGGCCGGCGCTCGCTCTGCGTTTGGTGACACTCACGCGTCTCGACAGGGACCTTCGGGCATCCCAGGGTTGCTGGGTTGTCAGGAAGGGCTCTTGGAGGCGTCTTTGTCCTCCTCGGAGTGCCGAGCTACGTGTGCCCCGTGCTGTTCTGGCCGTGCTGTCACGAAGCACTAAGTTCTTTGGAGCAGGTTTTAGAAACCCGTATCCCAAGTGAGGCGGCGTTTGCGTGATGTCTGTGAACACGTGGAGCGGATCCCGCCCTGCAGCTGCCACCGGCGCTGTCCCCAGCGCAGCCCGGGAGGCCATCGCTCCTCGTGGCCACCAGGGCCACCGCTGTCCCCTGGGGCCCCAGCTGCTGCTCCGCAGGGCTGCTCTTTTAAGCAGAAATACACCAAATACCCACAAGTGTAAGTTTGTTTTTGAAGCGGTTTAAGGAGTAAAAAGCTTGTGTTTTTTCTCAGTTTTATTTCAGAGTAATCTGGCTTTTTTTTTTTTTTTTTTTCTCCTTTCTTTCCTTCTCCCCCCAGAAATCTGACTACTTGACGTCTTTTTTGAGAACCATTCAGTCTGTTTTCAGAGCATGCTTTGAGTTTGGGGGCTTCAAGGTCGGACTTTAAGGGGGCACGGTTTGATTGAGCTCCTCGTCACTAGCGCTGTGTAGGAGGCATTGCAGGACAGCAGCGGGGCGTGATGTTCACGTACCCTGGGTACACGCGGCCTGCTCCGCTCCTCTGCGGCGGGCACTGCGCCCACCCGGGCCCTGGCGCTGCCTCCCGGTGCCATGGCGGGGTGCCGGAGGCAGCGGGGGCCGCTCCTGGTGAGGCTGAGGGCACCCCCGAGGCCGGCACCCCGCGGAGGCTCCGGAGCAGCAGCGAGATCCAGCCCCAGCTCCGCTGCGCCAGGGCACAGCCGAGTGGCACAGGGCTCCTCGGTGCCTCGTCCCTGGCCAGCCCCATGTGCCCGTGTCTGACCTCGAGCATCTCGCCGCCTCTTGGAGCGGTAGGGCCTGGATCGAGGGGCAAACGTGGCTGTTGTTGGTGCACCCCTGCCTAGAACAAGCGAGAGGGACCTTTGCCTTCCCTGGCAGCCCGGGGCGGCCTCAGGGGCGCTGAGAGAGCGGCAGAGCCCCGGGGCGCTGGGCAGAGCCCCACGGGGCAGCTTGGGCGCAGGCGAGCGGGCCCATCCATGCACTGGTGCAGGTGGCACTGCCAGGCGTCCGGCACCTGCTCGCCTGCTGCCGCCGTCCCCCGGTGAAAGGGCGACTGCAGGAAAGACGCGGGCTCTGACCCCCCGTGCCCCTTGGTTAATAATAACTTTCTTTTTCCAGGACAGGAAGCCTGAGGGAGAATTCGCACTGGATGAAGAGAGTTTCCTGAAGCCGAGTGTATTCCAGGAACGGTAACCCAAATGTTTCTCTGTCCGTGGAGTATATCTCCCTTTTGAAGTGACTTCGACTGAAGGTGGGTGCTCCGCGGCGCTGTGCGCTCGGGTGCTGTGCGCCCGCGGGGCCGCGCGCGGTGTTGGGTACATCCAGAGTGTGGGAGGGAGGTGTCCTGCCCCTGGCATCCAACCTGCCTGCAGGCAGCCAGGAACCCTCTCCCTCTGCAGGCCTGGAGCCGGGCACGCTGTCTGAACCAGCTTATGCTCTAAAGCCAGGCTTAAGTGCCTCTAAGCTTCAGCTCCAGCTTCATGTGCACGGTAGATGGGAGAAGGATGGAGTTTAGAGTTTATTTTGTTTCCTGGTGACGGACTCTACTTGTGTCTTGGCAACTGCTCGTGCCTATTTTGGGAAGTAACAACATGGAAATGCCACAGAATGAGGTTTGTCACCAGGGCAGGACGGTGAATAAGCAGCGCTTACTGCTGGTTTTTATAACGTGCGAAACTGGAAGCACGCAGCAAAGCGCAGGCAAGCAACGTAGGGGACCCAAAAGCCTTGCAGCGTGCGCGGGGCCTGAGCCCTCGCTGCCGTGGGGCTGCGCGGCGGGAGGAGGAGGCAGCAGCAGCAGCTCGGGGGGGCGTGTGGGGAGCGGGCACGTCGGACCGCGGGGCCTGGAGCCGCCGAGCTTGGCACATGCAGGGTCTGTGGCGCTTCGCCAGCTGCGGGCACTGCCACAGATTGTACCCGTGCTTGCTTTTCTCCCGAGTGCCTGCGAGTGGCTGATGCGGAATGGGATTTTAGCCTCATTGCACCGTCTGTCCGCAGCGTTCTGATGCTGCGAGCTTTGCATGAGAGCCGTGCAACCCTTCCAGAGTGGATTTCGTTTTGCTGCTGGCGGGAAAGGCGCCGTCCCGCCACTAAAAGCGGCGGAGCCGACCGACCCCGTGGCCTCTCCTGTGGGTAATTCAGTGTGAGAAGTTTTGCGAGTGCTGCGGAGGCTGCTGCTTTCCCAGGCAGCAAGGCCTTGGGGAGGCTGTGTGTGAGGCCCTAGGGATGTGCTGGACCTGCCAAACCCAACGGTCCTGGTGCCGAGAAGCACTGGCGTGGGGCAGAGCCGCGCGTGGGGGCCCCGTGGGGCAGAGCCACGCGTCAAACCTCGGGGTTTGAGACCACTGAAAACTGTCCTGGAAACCCGTAGGAGACGGAGAACAGGGATGGTTCCCTGAAACCTTTAGCTGCCCATGTTGATGAAAACTGTGGGGTGGGAGGCAGCCGGGAGCAGCGACGTGGCCTGGCCTGGCGCATCCGTCAGCTGGCACTGCCTGTGCCAGGCTCCCGCCGGAGCTCCGTGCAGGAGCAGCGAGGAGGCCCGGCCTGGTGCATCCATCGGCTGGGGTGTCCCATGCCGGGCTCCCACTGGAGCTGCATGTGGGAGCAGTGATGCAGCCCAGCCCGGCGCATCCATCGGCCGGCACTGTCCATGCTGGGCTCCCGCCGGAGCTCCGTGTGGGAGCAGTGATGCAGCCCGGCCTGGCACATCCGTCGGCTGGTGCTGCACATGCCGGGCTCCCGCCGGAGCTCCGTGCAGGAGCAGCAGACACAGCCTGGTGCATCCGTCGGCCAGGGTGGCCCGTGTTGGGCTCCCGCTGGAGCTCCCTGTGGGTGCCTGTGGAACCCGCACGTGCAGAGCTGCCCCTGCTCCCGCTTTCCCCGGCCGGTGCCCGGCGTGGGGAGCGCTGCGCGGAGCCGCCCGCTCGCGTGGCAGAGCCAGCCGGAGCGGCGCCCGAGGCCCCGGCCTGGGCGATGCCGACTGCTGCCCTGCTGCAGGAGCTCCGACCGGGACTTGCTCCCTTAGCTGCTGCTCCGTGCTGCCGTCCCGGAGCAGACGCTCCCAGGGCTCTTGCAGGTCGATCCGTTGTCCTGGTGCACTCGGCGTCCGGCCCCTTCCGACGGGCTTCGTTCCGTGCTCGGGGCTCTGCGTTGCTCTGTGCCGAGTTCAGCCTGTCGCTCTGTTGTCCGACCCTTATCCACCTGGGATGGGGCTGCAGCTCCTGGCGCTGGCCTCGCTCAGGGTGAAGCTGCGGATTTCCCGTCCCTGGGAACGCTGCTGCCTCGCTGGGCAGCTCCGCCTGGGTCGCCTGGGAACACATAGAGCAGCACAAGTTATTTTCCTATTGCTCCTTTATCTCTTATGCATTAACCAGTTTCGGTTCCTAACAAACTGAGCTTCCCTTGGAAGCTGTGCAGGGAAGACCCATCAGCCCTTGCTGTGGAAGTCCGGGTGCAGCCAAGGACAGTCCTGCCGGCCTTGGGCAGGCACCCGAGCCCTTCCCAAATCCAGCTTTGAGGCCTGACTTTGCCCTGAAAACCTCCTGGCGCTGCAGCGTGCACAGTGTGGTGACAGCGCTTGGGCTTGTGTTACAGTTTGCTTAAGCCAGGTTCACATTTCGAGCTAACCGGGTTAAATAAAGTGATCCTTTATTCCCTGGAATTGGTTGTTCAGTAACTGCGTTTTGGAGCCTCAGAGCCCTCCTGAAGACCTCGTTGTCCTCTGACTCACTGGCGTCTTCTGGAACTTTGTGTTGAGAATTCTGTTGGAGTCTCGATTTTTATTTCCCTCATTTGAGGAAGCTTTGGTGCAGAGTTTCACTTATCTCCTCTTTAATGAGCATAAATCGTCATACATGGAGCAAAAAAAGGCAAAAACTATAAAATACTAAAAATCTATATAGCCTATCCAGACTAAGACTAAAGACAATGACTGAAATAAGAGGGATCAGAGGAAAATCCAGCGATGTCGAAGCAGCTTTATTTCTGCTTGTCCTTAGTATTTCAGTTACAGAAATGAGGCTAGAGGAAAGTCAGCAATATTCAATAAATTCTTTCTGGAAAGAAGCAGGATAATGAGCTTCTCTCAAAGTTTCCACTTAGTTACTAAGTGGAAAATGTTAAGTGTTTTATCAGGAATAGGCTTAATGAGCAAACGAAAATCCCGGTGGTTACCCGGGTTTGCAGGAGGGAGCAGTTGGCTGCGGTGCGTCCGGGCTCTCCTGCGCTCCGGGAGCTGAACCGATGCAGCGAGCCATGGAAATCCCGAGCTCGGAGTCACCCGGAGTGCCACAGGGAAGCGGAGATGAAGTCGTTCTGGGTGTAGCCATGGAAATGTTAGGAATATTGCAGGGTTTTGTAGCTTTGAGGTGTCTAAAAATAGTAGTTTGGTTGGTGAATTTTGACCGCTTTGTCATTTTGCAGAGGGCGAGAGGGCACAAGGCGAAAATCCCTGGTAAATAAGGTGAAGGGAGGCGAAGGGGGTGGCGTGTGGCTCGGGGAAGCCTTGGAGATGGGCAAGGAGCTTTTGACACGATGGCTTTAGTGCAGGATGAGCGAGGAATGAGCCCAGACTCCGTGGAGGAGCGTGGGGCGGACTGGAGGGCACCGAAGGAAGAGGGCTGCCTCGACAAAGCTGTTCAAAACTAGGCTTAAAAATAAGCCAGCCTAGTTTCAAAGCTCGAATTTGAAACATAACGTTGCCGCAACTGCTGTGTTTACCCCTTAAAACCACTAAACACTTTTGTTCAGTTCTTGTTCTTTCCCGTTCCCTCTCCACCGCTTTTCCGCACCTCTGGAGCACAAATAGCCTTTCCCTATGGTCTGGAGAGCCTTCCTCAAAAGCAATTGATTGTTGTAAATACATGAAATCGATGTGCTTGCCGAACCTGGCAGGCTCCTTGCGGCGATGTGCAGCGTGGAGCTGCCTCTTCTTTCCTCGTTTTGTTTTTACGCTGTGTTTGTGTTGGCTCGCTCTGGTGGTGGCAGCCTTCACTGAGATGATATTCATTCTGCCAACTCAACAATATTTACTTTTCAAAAAGTCTTGTTGTTGGAATGCCAAGCAAGAGCAGAAGAAAGCTATCAAACCTGAGGACTAAATTATGATTTATATTCTTAAGATATTGAAGAGGCAGAGGGTGGCGGGGGAAAATGCTGCTTCCGCACACGGATTGAAAGTATACCTGAATTATACTGGGTGTAAATTAAAGTATGATTTTTAAGGAAAATGCACCGTTTTAAGGAAAATTCACCGTTCCGGGTGCATTAGGAGCTCACATCTCAGCAGCTCACAGCTACGGCACTGCTGTCATCCCTTCCACCTCCAGTGTGACCCAGGCTTCCAGCAACACGTTGTAAGGAGCGTTTGGTTCTTGTGGTGATGGAAGCGTGGTTGTGTTTCCAAGCCCCGAGCGCAGGCTGGGTCCTTGCTGCACCAGGAAGATCTTGAGCTTCAGCACTGGCAGCTCCTGAGCGGACGCTGTTGTCCTTGGTCGCCCTTGGGCTGCTGAGGAAACCCTGCGCGTTGGGCAAGTGTCGTCATTGCGGTTATAACAACGATGTTTTTCCCCTCGAATACATGGGCTAGGAGCACCTGTAGAATAAATATATCAGGAGTTACCTTGAGCAGCAAGGATGAGTGCTTTGATTCCCAGGTCATTCCAATGCAGCTTTTCCTCCTTCTTGGCCGGGAAGGAAGGTGAACCTGGGAAGCTCCGTTGGGTTATTTTTATTATCTGTATGTATTCTGCTATCAGGTCCCTCAAACCCCTTGAGAGATGGTTCTTCTTATTGGCTCAAACACAACTTGCACCATTCAGCCTCTCTTGCTTGGTGGAAAGTGTCTCCCAATGGTGGTTCAGAGTTAGAAGCCTAATTCATCTGGTCGGAGAGTCCAGCACTTGCAGACAAGAGCGAGAGGACTGGGATGCTGTAGAGGTCACAGAGTTTCGGTGCCTTTTCCTGATGGGGATGGGTGTTTCTTGTTTGTTTTTCTTCCTTTTGGCAACGGTTACTTCCTCCAGGAAGGTGCATGGGAGGCTGGCGATACCCATGAGCTCCTAGAAGGGAGGCCAGGAGAGCTCTCGCGTCTGTGTGGTTGTCCTGTGTTGCTCTTCTGATCCGAAATGTCCGTGATAAAGTTGCTAGGGGCTTCCAGGGGGTGCAGCGAGGGCCTCAGCAGAGGTTAGCACTTGTGCAGTCCCCTCCACAGACCCGAGGACTCCTTAGTTGTTTCATATCTGCGTAATC